CAGGTTAACTATTTGCTTTGTGAAGAACAACAACTTTCTCTTACTAGTTTGAAGCCTGCTACCCATTCCTTTCCTTTGGTGTCCTCTAGTCCTTCTTTATGGGAACTCAGGAAGAACTTTTCTGAATGCACCCTCTCCACCCAACCCCTGCTTTTAGAGACCTCTATCCTGTCCCCTCTCCGTCTCCTCTTTTCTAAGCTGAACAGTCCCAGTCTCTGTAGCCTCTCTTGATCTGGGACCTGTTCCCAACCCCTGATCATGTTAGTTGCCCTCCCCTCTCCCAGCCTTTCTCTTCCCTTCTCCCACCTCCTTTTCCCAGTCTCCCCCAGTTTTGTTCAATAAAGACAGAGTCAATGTTGGAAGAAACGTTATCTTTATTTTGTACATCAATAAGAAGGGGGGCTAGGGAAGGGTAAGTGGAAGGAGGTGAGGGAGGAATGGGGTACGAGCCCCCGATGGGGTCGACTGGGCTGGCTCTGCGGGCTTCTTGGGGTGGAAGCTCTCCTGCAGCCCCCCAATTACTCCCTCTCCCCAGATGGCAGCCTGCGGCAAGTGCAGCCGGGCTGATGGCCGAGTGGTGTGATGTGCCCAGTGTGGGCACTCAGGGCACTCCAAGCCAGAACTTCTTTGCAAGCGGGGCACCCCTTAGAACTGTGTGTCCGGGGTGGGGGTCGGGACCCTTTAAGCGCAGCCCTCGGCTAGCCTGAGACAGCATCTCCATGCTCTAAGTCCTCCTTTTATGCCCTGCCGGCACTGCTTCCGGCCATTCAGGGTCCACTCAATGTGGACTTGCTAGTTCGAATTAGCAAAACGCTAATTCGAACTAGTTTTTAGTTCTAGATGCGTTAGTTCAAATTAACTAATTCGAACTAAGTTAGTTTGAACTAGCGCTGTAGTGTAGACGTACCCTTATATTTACTGATGTAGCAAAGGAGATGTGTGGAGGGTAATTGCCCTTCTGCTCCCCCTATCATACCTCTGCTCACCTGCTCCTCCTCCACCCACCACCACCTGCTGAAGCCTCCTCCCTGCTTCTGCACCCCCCAGCCCAACCCTCCTCCCTCTTCAACAGTGGTATAGTGCCTTCCCCAAACTGGAGGGGCTGGGGGAAGGCATGGTACAAGCTCCCCTACCCCCATCGGGCTCAGCTGTGCACCAGGTTCGGGGCCCTGTCACGTGGCAGGGGGGGGGGGGGGGCAGCACAAATTTTGCTTTAACACCCTCGCTACACCTCTGGTAGTGTGGCAGCTTTAAAAGGGTATCGAGCCATTAGGTGTGTTTTTATTTCATTGTAGTAATGTACAGGCCCCTAGAGTTTGGGTGAAACGCTTCTGATAAATGCAGTTGAACTGTTTCTATGGTGATTAGCCAGCCTTTGTCTCCAGGCCTCCTACACAGGTTGTTAATTTTGCTTTAACACCCTCGCTACACCTCTGGTAGTGTGGCAGCTTTAAAAGGGTATCGAGCCATTAGGTGTGTTTTTATTTCATTGTAGTAATGTACAGGCCCCTAGAGTTTGGGTGAAACGCTTCTGATAAATGCAGTTGAACTGTTTCTATGGTGATTAGCCAGCCTTTGTCTCCAGGCCTCCTACACAGGTTGTTCCGGGGGGGACGGCAAAGGAGAGCCATTGGGAATGGTTCGGGGTTAGCTCTGCTGCATCCAGGCTGGACCCTAGTGATTTGCAGATTCTGAGTAATGAAGAGGACTGTAGAAGGGAAGTTCCTGTTCTGTTCCTATGCAGCCCCAGACTGCAGGACCAAGCGGTGATACTTGGCAGGTAGCCCACACTGTAGCTGTGATGCAGAGATTCCTAGCCGTGGCCTGGGGGTTCCCTTCTGGGCGATCCGGGTCAGCAGAGGTAGAATGATCTTGATTTACAGGGAGATGTGTATCTCGCAGGTGGTTCTGATTTACCTGCATTAAGCTCTTTGGCGCCGTGGTGCTGAAGATGCTGGCGACTGACCTGACCTGCCACTGAACACACGGTCTTCCCCCTCTTTGCCTGGAAGCACCTTGTAGCAGACTAGCCTTGAAAAACAAAGCTGTGTCTTAGGCTTAGAAAATCCAGCCCTCTGCTGGCCAGAAAACTGCATTTCAATTGCAAAACACTTGGTTTTGCAAGCAGACCCACCCCTGGCCAGCTTGGCGAGGTCACTGTTACACTAACCAGCAATTTCTTTGTCTAGTTTCAAGACTTCTCTGTATAATAAGGAAGGCGTCTTATGATCATTGTGACAGTCACGTATAGTAATGCCACTGCGCACTCACCCAAATCCAAGTGCCCTTACTGATACGTGCCCCCCTTTCTAACCAGTCGCTGTGGGGCTGTTCTGAGTTGGGCTCGTGTATCATGTGTGGGGCCTGCACCCTCGCTTGTGCAAGGTAACAAAAATCCGACTGGGCCTGTTACATAGAATTGCCTGCCAAAGTTAGCCGGGGTTAGTTCAAACACAGAGCTCTGAGGCCGCTCAAGGACTGTGTTGAGGTGACGGGTAAACCAGGACAGTGGGACTTGAAATTAATGAACCAAAAATTGATGTTGGGGATGCCGCCTGTCACTCTCTTTTTGGAGTCCTTAAAGAGATTCCCCGGTGGGGGGAGGGCATGTCAAAACATCACAGATTGAAAGGAATGAACTGCCCCCATAGGATCCACCAGGATGCTGGTGGACCTTGACTGTCTGGCTTCAGAGATGTCTGCCCTAATCAGGCCAGGTAAGACCAAGACGACATCCCCACTCCACTGGCTTCAGCTAAACCCCAAACAGCACCTTCCATGAGAGACTTGAGTTCCTGCTGCCATTGCTTCTTCGTGTCCTTTCAGTTCCCCACGTTTTCATCTCTTTCCTGTCTCTCTTTGCCTCTCTCTAGCAAGTGCCTGGCTTAGCTGACTAAAACATCTTGCCCTTTACAAAACTGCCCTGAGCCTAGGATCAGAAACAGAAGCTAAAAGAAATGCCTCCAACAAATTGGCCCGTTGATGAGTGAGGCTACTAAGACCTTGTTGTGCGTCTGCGCCACCTTGTCTCCAGCAGCCAGACCGCAAGCAGAAGTCAACATCTGAGACACAAGCTGCATGTTCTAGCTCTGCTGTTCTTTCCCATCCCCTTTTCTCTGTGTATTGTATGGAAGCGAGGAATTGATTGGACCTCCCCACCACTCCAGCCTATTTCAATTTCTCTTTTCCTCCTGGGAGACAGTTCCCATCTTTGATACCTCTCAGTAGTGCGCAATCCGTGGGTCGCAACCCCCAAGGGGACTGTGGATGTCTTCCTGGGGGGGTCGCGGTGCTAAGCTCCGGGTGGCCCGGGGCTGGGCTGGGCCCAGCCATTGGCGGCTGTGCAGTGCTGCACTTAGATCTGGCTGGCTGGGGGCTGGGCCTGCCAGTTGGTGACCCCGTGGCGCTGGGGTCATGGTGGAAAAAAGGTTGCGCACCACTATAATACATCATCGGGGGGAGAGGGCTTTACGACAAATCTCCCTGGCTAACCTGAAAGGGATCAAGACCTATTGACAGCCCGACTTAGTACTTCACATTGCAAATGCTTCACATGTTGTTGTGGTTTGTTGGGGTTTTTTTCAATTGCAAATGCTTCACATGTTGTTGTGGTTTTTTTGGGGGGGGTTCGGTCTCTTTCACAAAAGGCTACAAATATTTTTAGTTTGCTTGTTGCTGTGGGGCTAAGCAGGCCAAAGTCTCTACTCAAAATCCCAAACCGTGGTTAAGTGTTTAATGTCGTACAGCGACAGAGTCACGGTAACGCTGTTGACTATCTGGACCCACTTCTTCCATCAGCATTCCCGCCCCTCGGGCTGTACTTCGAGGCCTGTGCCAATGTAGCCGCAGAAGTCCTAGGACGGCAGCATTTGGGACAGTGCGGAGTGCGAGAGGGTCTGCCATTCGGCTGAAAAAGAGGACGTTTGCAGAAGCACTAAGGCCTGTCAGATCAAATGAGTGGCTGATACTGTTTCTTTCTGTTGTGCTCAGTCGTGGTCCCCAAACCAGACAGCCCAACATGCAGCCCTCTGCTTTGTTCCAGTCTCTCGACATCTGTGAGGACACAGTGGTAAATCATTAGGGGACGTGTGTGGGACAGACCTCACTGCCAGTCCATCTGCTTCTGCATGCGCCTGCCACGTGCAGTAAACATCCAGGCGGCCTTAGGGGAGGGAGAGAACTTGGCTCCTGCATTAGGGAGCGGAGCGTGTGGTCATTGGTGTAACCTTTAGACGAACAAATAGGCTTTTCTCCCTTACAGCTGGCAGGGCAGCCGGCTGCGTAGGTGAGTCTGAGTTTAGGCTATGGCTTACCGCCAGCTGTTTATCCTGAGCCTCACACAGCCCCACCCACGTCCTTGAAGCTATCCTGCCTCCTACAAGTCACAAGCAAGAATTTTATTTAAACATTTAAATGTTTCATGTGGCCATGGCATGAGGTTGGACAGCTCTGGGGACTGGCTGTGTAGCCCCAGCTTTGGGAGGGCCCCCATCTCAGCCTGGCGGGCCCCCTTCTTAGGATGACGAACACAGAAAATGTCAGGCTGGATCAGACCCAAGGTCCATCTAACCAGGATCTTATCTCTGACTGACCAGAGGCAGCTGTTTCAGGAGGGGAAGGGGAAGGATTATGGAATGACATCTTCATAAGAGAGAGGCTGATTTTCAGACAGGGCACTGGGGATCTCTTTTGTGAACATGGTTACATATGGAAACATGAGCTTTTGACAAGCCCTTTTTTTAATTGAAATCCAGAAGCAGGGATGTGGGAGAGATGAGTATGTTTCTCAAAGTTTTCTTGGGCCACAATCCCCAGACCACGTGGAATGGCAGGGAATGAAATCCTGAAACTTCCTTTCCTAGCGGGTTATTTTGAACATAGATTCTGGATGTGAAGAGCTAGCAAGATGCAGGGCATCTGGAAGGTGCATTTCCTCTTATTTAATTGCCATGGTTTAGAGGGAAACCGCCTGATTTTGTGTGCCTAAAGCACAGTCCCAAAAGGTGTCGCCGTCGGGGAATATATTCCAGCTCAGAGACCTTAACTCTGATCCTGCAGGAGTCCGGGTTTTCACCGACCCATGTGACCCTGCTTTTTTGAGGGAGGTGATTGTTCATCACAAGTCTCAAAGGATCCCCTATCAGCAGGGAGAGGGGGCTGGTGGCGAAAGGCCTGCTGATACTGCTAGTTGTCTTCCCAACGAGATGCTGTTCTGGGAATGGAGGCCACAAACTGTGAACGAGGCCTTGAAGGCTGGTAAATCCTGGAGGCGCCCTGGGACGTGCAGTGTCTTGTGGCGAGGATGTTCAGCTTGTGGACTGCTGCCCCGTTACTGCAGCAGCACAGCGCTCAGTTGTGTGATGCTCCCTTGTCTTCCAGCCTGGGGACACCAGGAGGCGGGCGGATGGCTTGTGTGCTGGCGTTGGGGCAGTGTCTGGGCTTGGGACCACACCGTCAGTCAGTGCAGTTGAAGAAGAGAATGAAATACAGCAGCAGGCTGGACAAGCACAGGCCAGTGTCTGCCAGCAGAAAGCAAGGCAGCTCAGACCCTCGGACTTCCATGCCCCTTTGCTGTATCCTGGCACTTGCCTTCGCCCGCCACCAGGCGCTTGCCCCAAGTCCCACGGGTGGTGAGCAGAGAAGGTGATGCAGCCTGTTGTCTGTGGGGGGCTCTGTCATACATAAAGCACCACCAGCACATAGATGACCCAGCTGATGCACACGAACACTCCAAAGAGCAGGCTGAAGAGAACCAGGGACCGGGCTTTTCTGGACGCTAGCTTGGCTTGGATCAGGTCTCCTCTGTTCAGGGCTGCTCGGGTCTAGAGTTGCGGGGGGGAGAGAGTGGACAGTAAGAAGAGGGATACAAGTTCCTTTCACTTCAAAGACAAGAGCTGAGGCCTCCCAAAGGGGGAGCCCCTGTCCCCCTGCACAGCTTTAAGCACATCTGATAAAGAACAAAGGCAGCAGCTGTTACTAATGGAAAGGGAAAGGGATGAAATTTCAGACCATCTAAGGCTCTGACCATGGATCCAGGCAGAAAACAAGCCAGCACTGTCAGAACCCTTCCAAAAAACCCCTTAGTGGGTAAAGAGTGGTGGTTGTCTCCCCAGAAAGCGCAGCAAGGTGCACTGGGCTGTCTTTCAACCACCAGCTGATTAGGCCCTGTCAGTCACACATGCACACAGGCTGTACATTGTCTGGCTGAAATGATCCCTGTACAGTTGAATAGGAACCAAGCAGCAAAAGGATGACCCAGCCAGGGTTTGGTTTGGGCTCAGTACATGTAGGGCTCTATATTCTAGAGCGCAATGAGCAAGGGGAATTTTCTGCCCCGGGAGGTACTTGCCGAATCCGTGTTCTTGGGATTTGAGGAAGAAACAGACAGTTTCCTGGGACTCCCTGTATACACGGGTGAGTGGTCACCCGATCTCGAGAGGAAAGGAATTCTTCCAGCCTTCCCACATCCCATGCCTGTGTTGACAGGCCTGGTGGGGTACAGCCAGCCTTTGGGGTGTTAAGCAGAGATTTTTGAGTGTGTCCGTGGAGCTGACAATCAATGTCCCGTGTATCAAGCGGCGCAGGGGAAAGACTCCCCAGCGTGTAACTTGTTGCCTAGCGTCCAGAGTGCTCCTCTCGGGGCTGCCTATTATTAAGCGTAGCCGCTCCCATCCCTAACGAGGAGAATAAATTCCAAGCACAGGGACTCCCACATCCCTCCTCCAAGCAAGTTCAGCCTGCCCAGGCGGCAGAAAGGGCAGGGCCCGTCCTACCTCGTGGGAATAGACCAGCGCGATCACCCCAGTCAATAAGCAGCAGAAGATCGTCACCAGCACCGACTCGACCATGTAATCTTTGGGCGGGCGCCCCCTGTCTGCTGGTGCTGGAAGCCCGCTGACGGGCAGCCCGTTGTACTGCAACACAAAGCAAAGGGCTCTGGTCATTCCTGGGCACATGCGACATGGAGAGGGGGTCCCGCGGCAAGGGCCACCGCCTTGGTACCCCATTGCTGTGGAATGGCGGAAGGTGCAGACGCAGGGCCCGCCCCCCTCTGCGGGATTGCTCCCTATGCTGTTTACTGCCATGTCTACCAGGGCGTTGTCCACACCGGGTTTCAAGGTCTCGCACCTTGGGGCTTCCACTCATCCGTGGCGGAGGGGGGGGGCAATTCTGCACCATCAGGAAGCTTTTCCCTTTCTAAGGTATCTGGGGATTCTCAAGCAAGGGCCGGGTACAGACCAGCCCCTTTCCAAGCCCTTCCTGTCTGCTGGCTTCCTCTTCTGACCCTGCGGTGCTGGCACTAGCCTACGAGTCCAGGCAGTCGCTTGGCACGGCACGTGCTCACAGCTGGCCCTGCTTCCTGCTCTGGGATCCTCTGCCTTCTCCTCACCCTCAAGTCCATACACTCATGGAAGGTTGGCCACAGGTAACACAGTCACACCAGGGGAAACAGCAGCCTCGGTGACTAATCTGCAGTACCAATGAGAGAGATGCAGGAAGGGGGCAAACATTGCACTCCAAACTCATGAGACGTGCTACCAGAGATGCATACTAGGGATGTCACTGGGTAGACGACTACATGATTAACCGATAAGCCTGGGCTTATAGGTTCATCCTGTTGTCTACACACATTACACCCGCCTTTACTGCCTCTGTGTCAGAGGCAGCAATGGGGGGAGCCGGACCCAGTGCCTATAAGGAGCTGGTTTAAAAGTCAGCTCCCTATGAGCACCGGCTACCAGAGATGCATACTAGGGATGTCACTGGGTAGACGACTACATGATTAACCGATAAGCCTGGGCTTATAGGTTCATCCTGTTGTCTACACACATTACACCCGCCTTTACTGCCTCTGTGTCAGAGGCAGCAATGGGGGGAGCCGGACCCAGTGCCTATAAGGAGCTGGTTTAAAAGTCAGCTCCCTATGAGCACCGGATCCACCTCCCCCCTTCCCCCCACCTCCG